TATATATATATATATATATATATATATATATATATATATATATATATATATATATATATACATCCGAACTAGACTGTGTTGCTTTTCTGTGTCATATATGTGGGTATATGCATAATGGTTATCTTTTGAGAGCTGAATGCAATGAAATTTCATTTTAATGTATGCTGATTAGTGTACATTCTAAGTGACAATAAAATTCTCTTCTATTCTATTCCATTCTTTTCCCAAAGACATTTCTCAAAAAAAAAAAAAAAATCTAGTTTTACTGCATTTACCTTATATGAAAATGACACTATATCAAAAACATACATTTGTGACTATGCCAGTTTTATCTTCTCAGACCCAGAAGTGTTAGGGAGTGGAAGTTACGGACATCCATACATGACTGAATCTGGAAATGGTGATGATGATGGAATTGACATCGATGATTCAGACTACGACATTTATATCGATGAGGTACATCCACACGTCTCACTCTGGCATTTTGGTTGCTTAACATTCTTAGTGCAGTATTTAAACAAGAACGCCTTAATAGAGATCAAATACAAGTCTATCGACAAATATACGCTCGGAGGCTATATTAAGTATTCATTTGCATTTGACTCAGTCTGAATATTTTCTTCCTTCTCTGATCCTCTAAAGCCTTTGATTTTTTTTTCCCCCGACATATTTGTTTTCACTGAAACAAACCGAATGAGGGGGAAGAGTATAATTGCTTAAAAGGGAAGCTTAGCGGAGTTTTCCTTTACGTAACTGAAGCCCGCCTTTCGTATAACTTCTGTTTCATTTATACTGACTTTATTTCAATCAAAAATACCTCAGCATTCTCCTTCTCCTTCTAGTAGCTGAAGAAGCTCACCGTTAGTAGAGGAAGAAATATATTATTCTTTTTTCTTCATATTTTTACATTTTTAATATTAAAAAAGTGCAGCTGCTTAGGCCACCTGTGTATGGGACAAGGTTCACTTAGCGAATGTCTTACTTAGGAACAGAAACTTTGGGCTCAGTTGACATTGTAAGCTGAGGACCACCTGTATAAAGGAAAATATGTAAAGAAAAATGTAGCTAGTGCCTTTTTGGTGGGTGGGGATGGGGATAGGGTTTTGTAAGAAAAAGAAAACTCTCAAAAAAAAAAAACTTTTGAAAAAATTCAGGTTAGCTTTGCATTCCAAAACATTTTCACTCCAAAGTTAGAGACTGCAGATAGCATCCCAATTTCCGCTCTCCCTATTCATTCAGAGAAAATATGAATAGACTGTTATCTTATCATAATATTCCTGAAGGAGAGGCCAAACTTCACAGCCATGGGAGGTGATTCATGATAGGATAAGGGAGATGTGAGAAGCTGCTTTACACTGAGTGGGGGGGGGGAACCCCAATGTTCTGTTGGCACTGTCATTTCAAGATCTTGGACAAAAATAT